CTGAGAACTAGCAAATACTTGGTATAGAGTCTTTATACTTGGGAATGCTAAACTGACAAGTTTGCAACTTTTAAGATGCTACATGAACACTGTCATTGCTTCACCCATGGCACACTTAGAGGGGGAAATGCCAATAATGCTCAAACAGCAATTAGAAAAAACTTTTAACAATGACTGTTTCAAGAAACTTCATAAAGTATGACATGCCCTGAAACAGCAGAAAAGTATAGACACAGTCCATCCATTCCTAAGATATTAGATAATGGCTCAGATATGATCAATAGCAATCAAATTAGCCAAAATGGAGCACACATGCACGCTGCACTGATGGATCATTTCAGGATTACATTTTGTGTATTATAACCACAAAATTATTACAAATATACATATACAAAAATCTGAAGTACAGCTTTTGGATTTAGGCAGTCCAATATCAATACACTGCAGCTGACAACGTTTTCTTAGTATTAAATTAGGTAAAACTCCCTGCACCCTACTTTACTAGCCAAGCACTTTTTATACAACTCTCAAGCCAGCAACCTTCTGCAATTTAAGTATGATTTAGTGCAAGAGAAGCAATGAGTATTATAAAATTTATGCTTGTTCACCTTCTCTCCCCACAGAGAAGGGCAAGACATTTTTTCATGTAAATATGTATTAGATCCAAATCATTTAAATAGATATTATTCCATAGAGAACATGATGCTGCATATGCCCATTTCAGCTCCATGTTACTAAATAAACTGCAAGATAATGATGTTGCCTTGCTCATCCTAAAGGACACTGTAAATACTTCTAGGCATTTCAAACAGAAGTAAAAAGGAAAAACTAGGGTGGCTCTTACAGAGCTTTCTAAAGTGAAGACAAGTTACTGGCAAATTAGGAAATCTCTTTAGAAACAGGTCACAGCTGCCACAGAAAAAATATAGCTCAGGTACAAGGAATCCTTACAGTATGAGTAGCATTATCATTGCTGTCATCCAATTTCATTTTCTTTTAAATGAAGAAGGGAAAGATAATCGCATTTGCAAGGAGAAAACCAAGAAACTTTAGTCAGGTGACTACTTCTAAAAGTTAATGTAGAAATGCTAAATGCAGGGTGCCAAATGCTAATTTGTCTCTAATATGTCTCAGTTATATTTAGCTACAAGTGTCACTGCTTGAATGGAAAAGAGACAGAACAGGGAAACCTTAAAAATGAGATCTTTAAGCATGACTTTTAGGTGAATGCATACATCTCCCTGCTTTTCACAAAATGCACCAGAAGTTAATCAACATCTTACATAAAATGCAATATAAGCTAACAATTTCTTTCTCAACCATGTATATATTTAAAGTGAGGAGGACTGTCATTTGACTTGAAGCCATCACATACCATTTGGGCCACAGTCAGTTATCTTACAATACAGTCTGACCTCTACTTGATTTTAAAATAGGATAATCACCTTCAACTGTGTATGAACCTTGAACATTATCAAAAACAGTTATATTGCATCAACGATTTATTAATAGTCTTATATTAATAGTAATGTAACTTTGACTTTACAAAGTCATAAAGATGATGAGAAACACAGTCAAGACTTATTGTGCTACCTATTTTATTTTAGGCTTCTAAGGCAACCTCATGACACAATCAGAGAAACTATCCTGAAAGTAAGAGCTACAAAGGAAAAACAACAGAATGTGCATGTATCGTCCCAGTTCGACAGCAGAGCAGGAAGGATACAGACAGCATAAGGAGTTCAGACAAATGAGTTTCAGATGCTGAAACCTTTCAAGTACCAAAACTGTCCTGCAGCCAATTGTGCTTGGAACTGCAGGAGCGTTCATGCTGAGACAGGTAACCTCTGGACAGCACAGGAGCAGCGGCTGCAGCGAGGAAGAGGCGTGAGCCTTCCGTGGGAACGCGCTAAGCCAGATTCCCCTCCCAAGGAAAGCGCCCAAAGCCTACAGGCTCACATTCAAAACAAACCTGGGGAAGGAGGAAACGTTCTGAGTTGAGCGTTTCTGGTTCCCAGCTCTCAGCGTGGCACCCCTGCCGCGCGGTCACTTCTGGAGCTGCTGGCCCCGTTGCACCACAGTTCAAACAAAGAGCGGCTAAGAAAGCACAGTATTCTATAACTGGCATTTACAGCATCGGCCTTGGACTCCTAATCTTTACCAGACGGGCACACAAATCAATCTATCAGCTCATAAAGGTATGCTTTTTAACCTCCAAAACAGATGGGATTGGCCAGAAACGTCTGGCATGTCAAACTGCTAATCGAGGCTGCCCTTTGCACAAAATAACCCACTTAAGTTGAGGCATGGTTGCACTGTAACAGACATTAGTCTGTGGGAAACCCATTTAACTGTCACATACTCCCGCCACTCTTGCTCTCCCTTAATTAAGCCTAATGCCTTATGCTTTGACCTTTTGTTCTAGCCTATTAACCCTATCTAGTACAAGTTCAAATATGTTAAACCTAAAAGTTTGCTTTTAATATTGAATGCCATGCTACAGAAAGAGTGAGGGATGCTTCCCCACCTTGCAAGTTACCAACCCCTGTGTTAGTCCTCAAAGACAAAATATGTTCAAACACTGATCAGTTTAACAACAAAAAAAGTGCAGTTTCTTCCACTGGCACAGCCTACCTTTTCCTCTTTAGAGGAGGGTGAAGGAAAAAAAAAAAGTGAAACTTCTGCAAGCAACTTCATATCCTCAGGCTTCTGGGTTTATATGCAACAAGAAAAGCACATGCTATCAGCCAAGATCATACTGCACTCATTTGCTGTTCTCTGAAAGCCATCATTAAAAACAAGACATAATTGGTTTACAGTGACCAATTTTTCCTCAATTAAAGGCTGCCTCTGCCAACCCTCCTCACACTGAGTCACCATCTTGTTCTTTTGACAAGATACTTACACTTACTATGAGTATGTAATTCTCATATGCATCTCCAGGTGAGTTGCATCCTTTGAAGTTTCTCAGACTTGCACAGACTTAAACAAAGACATAATTTATTCATTCTAGCTACAAACTTTTCCTTTCATGCAAGCTCAACTAAAGCATGGCTGCCTTCTGCTCCATCTCTTAATTCACAAAGGTTACACAGCATCAACAAGACCAGCAGAAATGTTTTTAAAGCAGTACTCTTTCAGAGAAAGTCTACCCTAAGGGTCCAGAACTCTGACTTGACTTAAACAAGAACTCTAATCCCAGTGACAATAACAAACCTCTGATCAAGACACTACTGGACTCCACAACAAAGCTATTTATGTATGCAAGCAAGCTTGGTATACCAAGCTTGGTATTCCACAATTAACGCTTATAACTAGTAAACAAATCTATTCCCCACTCCAAAAAAAACAACAATGACTGCCCATAACTGCTTTATAATACAGGTTAGAAACAGAATGCAAACTGTGTGGGGATTATCAGCCATGTGTACACTGACAACCATGTTCCCAAACCTTTAGCTTAACCACCTTACTGACAAGTTGAACACTTGGTGCAACATCCTTCTTTAGAGTTTATGCTTCTGCAACTCTGATTATATAGAACTCCTTTTACAAAGGGGAAATAATCTTGAACCAAAGCTCTGAATTACTTTGAAGATGTGAGAGATTTCAAAAGGCTTGTTGCCACAAAAGCCACTGTCTACTAAGTTCTATTAAAGCTGTATAAGAGACCATCTGCTGCTGATCACAACAATTCTCCAGTTTTAAATTGCTAATTAATTAATTATGTTTTAATTCCAAAGTGCCTGACTTACTGATTCTGAGACCAGCAAGTAATACCATTTACTTTTCTGTAAATACAATTGCTCAGACAACTACAAGATGCACTACAGCAACATTCAACTTCTTTTTTTGAAAAGTTAAATAGAAAAAAACATTGTGGGAGGAAAAAACGGATTTATAATCTCAATTTCTGGTTATTTCCAAAGCACTGATTCTGGTTAAATCCAAATCCCTACAATGTAGGAAGTGTATATATTTTCTAATGATTTCACTTGGCTATATTCTATTGTGTTGGCGATGCTCAAACAGCACTACACAGACCAATGTTGTATTTGAGCAAAGTCAAGCAACGCATGGATTTATTTAAAATAAGAGAAAAACATATCCTTGCATCTGCAGTCTGTGTCGTTACAGTGGATACGAGAAAGCTCTGCAGGCTGGGATTTGGTATGACTGCCTCCAGCTTCTAGACCTTCCCTACTAATGCTCACAAAAGTTGCCACTGGAGGCAATGCAAATGAGTCCTAAGAGAGACAAGAAACAAAACAACAACTGCTTGTCAACCATTACATGCCCAAATTGTATTCTTTATGCTCATCAGCATTCTCAAGTTCTTAGGCACGCATGTAGGCCCACTGAGGACAGTGGGGCTACTCAAGTGAATAAAATGACTCACAAACCAAAGTGCATATACATAAGCAATCACTGGACAACACTCGGGGAATTATTCCCTGGTATCAAAGAAAAACAGGATTTAGGAAATGGGAAGCAAGGGAGCAGATCCAAACAAAATGACAGCGATGCTAAATGTCTACAAGCCATTGTAACGTAATATCTAATAATGATTTTACTGTGATGGTCCCTTGCCACACAAGCTCAATTTGGATCTGTTTTATTTAAAAAATAAGAGAGATGGTAACATAGAAAGTGTTATTTAATCTTCTCTTTCACTCTGAAATTATATGTATATCAAGTTCTTCACTATTTAGCTACCTCCCAAATAGGTGGGCTAAATCTTCAGAACTTAACAGCAAATTACACACAGAAAGTTCAGACATTACAAAAATATGTATTTTTCTTTAATCAGCACATATATTAAAAAAAACCCCAACTCTTACAGTAAAAGAGAAGGATTAACTTGAGCATTTATCACTTCAAAACATATTATAATCCTAAAAGGCTTATACAGGGCACACAGCTTTCTGACAGCTTTGTCAAGACAAAGAACAAACCCCAAGCGAAAGAGACAAGGTAAACAACCCAAACAAATTTTTTACCTTGAATGTGATTCCATTAGGAAAGCTCTTCCTTCAGGAGTCCAAGGATGTATTAATTGTCTTCCTCAAAAATTTCATGCTGGATCTGAAAAGAACAGCAGAAATCCCCCCATGAAATTCTGCAAATCATTCTTTCCTACCTAATACGTCTTGATCTATTTTCTTACAGTTGGTATAACAGAGAGCAATGCTTTATTTTGTTTAGTACAAGCTGCAAATAACATTTTCATACCAGAAGAACAATGTAGATCCAAACTTCAGAAATCAAAATCTTCCAGACAGAACCACGAGTAAAACCAGTAGAAATAACTCATGTTGTCTTGAACAAAATCCACATTCAACTCTAAGCCAGAATCCTCTTTTCCTTCCTTTCATTCAAAAAACAGCTGTGACATGAAAGCCCTCCTTCCTATGTAGTGGTTACTGCTTAACACTTCAAACTTGCACCCATGAACATCAAAATCAGTTTCTAAAGAGCCTCTATTAATTTGCATATACATAAGGAAAAGACAAGAGTACAGTATAACAGGTGAGTGCAATGCTAAATGCAACAAAATTAGTTAGAAAAAAAATAAACCAGCAGAAATTGTAATATTTGCTTTTGAGAGATTTAAGAACAGTATATAACACTATTTTATTTTAAAGAATGTTTTCCATTACAATCCTAACCTTAGAAGTTCTTCTCAACATTTGTCCATTATTCTTAAGTGAAGTTTTGCTTAAGGTTGCAAACTTAGAGCTAGCCCAGATCATTCTTATTTTCTGCTATTTCAGCCTTGTTGTTGTAACAAGCCTCACTACTAAAGGTCTTTTTTTTTGGTTATCCCCAAAGCAGTAAGCTTATTATGCACAGAGTCAACTTTAGATACAATAAAATACACTTGAAAAATTAAAAAGAAGATACTTTCTCCACCACTAAACTGAACTTTCCCCTCTCTCCTTCTGGTTGGTAATGGGAGAGTTCCTCTTCTTATTGCAACACCTTTAGCCTCTGTTCCCACAAAAAAAAAACCCCACAAACAAACAACAACAAACAAAAAAAACCCTAAAAAAAACACAAAAAAACTTTAAAAAAATCCAAGCTTTTTAAACAAGAAGATTTCTCAAGCATTGAGGACTCCACAGGTGGGTCCAGGTGGGTAGGATAGAGGGGGAAGAGTGGGAAATGTGTGTGCTGGGAGCACATCTGAGCATTTCTCCCTCCACAAAACCACTTGGATCCAAGCCAGATTAGAGAAAACATCTAACTCTGACCACTGCAATGTGCTTGCTAACCAGGAAAGAAGATACAGGTGTTGATCAATGGGTCATCATCCAAAAAAACATCTATTCAAAGCTTTCAGTGACATGAAATAACAGCAGCATGCTGGACTACTGCCAGCACCAAGACCCAACAAAAGATGCCCAACAGAGCCAATTAAGCTGAAAAATAAGTAAATACCCTGGAATTACATGCAGACAATATTTTAAATCCTTCTTCCATATACATAACAAAATGAAAAGGCAAGTTGCACCACAGAAGGGGTGCAGTCCTCAAAATTTGTATTCACAAAGAGGGTGAAGAAAGATCTGCCATCACAATAAACATTAACAGAGAAATGAGAGGTAAAGTGACAAAATAAACACAGTTCAAAGCCTTCTCAAATCCATTTTACTGGAAGGGTAAATAAGCTGGATGTGGAATCTTTTGTAGACAATGAAAAACAGGACATGAGGTCCCAAAGAGCAGAAGAAAGCAGCGCTATTAAAAAAACAAGGCACCAGAATTTGAGGAAAAATAGTCAATTTCAGTATTACTGCTCTATACTACAGATGTAGACAAAACGTTTTTCACCACTGACAAGTGAGTGAATTTAGTCATTCTTACTTCCAGGAGAAGAGAGATTGCCACGTAATAGGGAAAAACACAGAACAAGACACAAAAACACACTCCATACAGTACTGCCATGAAGGTTCAATGTATAGATGTGATTTCCTTTAGGTCAGCATTCAACAGTCTTTTTTGAATTATTCCAAGTGACAAAAAAAGGTTTAAGAGAGTTCAGTGAAAAGACAACAACAGAATTTGTTATTTCTGGGAAAAAAAATCCGTATTTCTTCAGTGTGATTTAAATATTGAGGAGGAAAAAAAACTTTTCTAGAATAATATTCTATTCCCAAACTCTTTGTATCTGAACCACTCGCTTTACACACCTTATAGTTTTTGGAATGTTGATTTGTGTTGTTTTATGGACTACCAAATGCAGGATAGGTGGTAACACGAACACCACCAACAAGGCCATCTCCTAGGGCAAGAACTGTCATTTCTTTTTACATCTGAGGCAAGCCTTGCTTTTGACATCACTGAAAAGGCCTTTTCAGTTCACCTTCCCTCTCTCTTTTCACAGGGGGATGGGGCACAGAGAAGAAGCAGAAAGCAGGTAGAGATGAATCTTAAAAGTTTGCTATGGAAAAAAAATCCAAACAATACCAACTCCAAGACCAATGAGAACAAAAATACAGTTCATCTGTGAGCAAGATATACTGCTTGGCTACATTTCAACACTAAACTTCACGGACTATTTTTTGGGCAAATTAAATACTTCCTTATTTGTTTTCAAATAATAGTTTCATCCAAGACTGGAACACATCTAGCACCTGATTTCTTTGCAAGGACTCCCTCACAACTTCCTTTCTGGAGAGGAGGAAGATCCTCCTCTCAGAAGTCTTTCCCAACACCGAGTTTCTCTCCTACATTAAACTCAGTCTTAGAAACCACTGACTAAAACAGAAGATCTGTAGCTTCTGCTTTTAATCTGATTTAGTCTACAAGCAACACTGGTTTTCCTCTGCTGAAGGCAATTTAGAAATAAGTGGTATGAAAACAAAATTTCACTCAAGACAGGCAATTAAACAAGAGCAATGAGCTCCAATAACAATTTAAGTATGAGAAGACTATGCCAGGAGGGGTTTGACCCAAGCTAAGATGTCTAGCAACTGCTTCTTCCCCTTTCTACACATGAATATTTATTTACATGAGTTTTAGTTTCTATTCTCTTTCTTCAACCATCAAGCCAAGTGACCTGCAACAGACAGCCAAATAAATTACCAAATTAATTCTTTCAAGTGCTAAATAGGTCTGCTAGCATTTCCAAGTATTTGAAATAAATAATCCAGAAACCCTAAAGAGCAGGCATTCATCTTTACCAAAAGAGTCCCTCTGCCCACTTTTCCCAAGGAATATCTTCCCACTGGGAAACACATGAGTTTTCACGTGAACCCAGACGTTCACCCAGAAGTACTGGGTGCCAACCCTTGTATGCTGTTTTCTAATTCAGTCTTTTCCAATGCAGCTAGTGAATCCCTAACACCAAAATGTGGAAAAGCAATGCCACAACCCTGCTAAACACTTCCCCCCAGCTCTCCCACTGTGTGCTGCAAGCAGGCCAGCACAGCTCAGAGTTACTGTTCTTATCGTTTTGGCCTGTTGGCAGGAAGAAAGAGCAAACCACAAATGCTGTTACCATTAACCTTTTTGTCTTTAGTTCAAGGCTATTTAGACAGACTGTCAAATTTATGCTTTCTATTTTTTTATACATTTATGCGTATTCTTTCACACCTTCTCCTCTTGCTCAGACTTCATTCCCTACCTACATACCTTTCTGCTTGCTTGCCATTACCCACCCTCCTCAGCAGCAATGATTTATACTCCAAACTTTGCACTTCTTGTCCCAAAAGGGTGTTGAAATGTTTTAATCCATAGGACAGCTATCCTATTAACCCTGCCTCCTGCTCATCACCCAACCTATCACTCAGCAGGTGGCAGAGCCCTGCCCTGCCTGGAGGCCCCATCCATGGGAGGGCAGCCACCAAAGCCCCCCATGGAAAAGGGGCTTGTGCCCCCAAACCAGGCACCCAGCTGGGAACCCCACACTTCCCCAGGCTCTCTTCTGGACCCCCTCCACATTCACATACAGGAAAAAGAAACACCCACAAGACTTTTGGGGTTCAAGATACAGGCAAGCTCTGAAGACTATTCTAAAATAATAATTCAGAGATCTTATGGTCTTCCTGTCTTCTCTGATAGCTCTGCAAGGAGGTGTCAAGCACAGCCTTAGAGCAGGACAGCTGACTGGGGGAAATGCAACTCCCTGGCTTTGCCTTGAGCAAGTTTATTCATGTGCTCTGCACAGTGCAAAACAGGGTTTATCTTTTATTGTAGCCATGTCCCGCATTGTTCCTGGCAAAGTTAACAGTGCTCTCACTGCTAATGATAATAAAGCTGGCACTATATAAACTTTCTGCCAATGTTCAAAGCCTGAAAAAGAAAGTTTGCTCTGAAGAGACAAAATAACCTTTAAGCAAGCAAGACTTTGTCAATTCTTTAAAGCAAATCATGCAATAAGCAAAACTGCAGGCAAACATCACAAAGTTAATACATGTTTGAGTTAACTGAACCACTTGAAGTTTTTCTTGATGCCTTTTACAGGACAAATTTACCCCAAACACTGCAGGTGATACAGCCAGTGATTAGATCACCCTTTTAAGTTTACAATATAATACCATTATTTACTTTTGCTTCTTTATCAACATAGTTTTTATGACTATCGTAAATTTTGGTTAGCACATCATTCACTTTAGAAAAAGAAACAAGCATGGGAAGCAAAGAAAAAGATGTTTTTACCCACAATTTTCTGCCAAAAGACTAAAAGAGAAAAAACCCCAAAAACCTCAATCCAGCATGGTTTGGCATTCGACTGCATGTTGTATTCTGTGCATGCATGGCCTACAAAACCTGAAAGCCATTGATAGTTCTTGCTCATTAGATAACCCAGAGGCACAGGCCAGTCCAGCAGCAGGTCAGATTTCACCCCTGCCCAAAACAAGCAGTCACTACTCCCCACCTCCTCCATGGAACTCAGAACACAAACACCCTTACATACGCTTTTCAATCACGCCTAACTCAGTCTTGCTTTGGAGTCCACATCAACTCTACCTCAGGAGAGCACTGACAGAACAACAATCCAAACTTCTCAACCACAAGTTTGGGAACACAGCTGCCTCAGACAACAAAAACCCCAAAGCTGCCTGAACACTGTTCTTGATGAGAACTTCTGCTTTCCAAGATGTTAGCTACTGATGCCCATAGAGCAGAATTACTCAGATGCCATTAAATGTGATCCCAGCCACAAGATACCCTCAGCTCAGAGAGCTTTTGTCATCTGGCATCTTAATGTGTCACTCTCTCATGTGCTCAGTCAGCCCTAGAAGCAGTAAATCGCATTTGTGTCTTAAAGAAAATGTTCCCTACTTGCTCAGGAATACACCACCCCCTTTCCACAAGTGACTGCTTCCTCCCCACAGGTCTTCGCAGATTGGATTCGCACTCTTTGTTAAATAAAGCTTTACGGTATCTCTGAACATTTATAGTGCCATGACTCAGTTAAATTCTAATCAGCCTGTGAGCTGTCTGACACTGCAGCAGGTCCCCTCAAAATAAAACAAGGAATAATATAGTCTCCAGATTCCAGAGAGATGAGGCAAAAGAGGACAACTTCCACTTCAGCCTTCTTAACAACAACATAATCCCAAAGCCAGAAATCCCACTGTTTTTTTTTCCAACACCTTCAACATGTGTCAAGCACTTTATCTGAATCCTTCTTTAAACTAAAAGCCCAGTAAATCACCAGGATAGACAAGACAGAAGAAGAAAGGTGCAGCACATACATAAGGCTGTCTGCTCGCTACAACGCTGCCCCCGTTTTGCCTACGCTACGTTTCCTTAGGTTTCACTACCTTCCAACTTAATCACCCACTGACACTTCGAAAGAAGAGCCTCAAACAACACGTTCTGCAGGGAAAAACGAAGGGTGGAAGTGGGAGGAAGAAAAAATTTTAAAATTCACCTTTAGAGGGCTTCGGGGACACACCAAAAAAAAAAAAAAAAAAAAAAGGCACATAACGTCTGGAAAAGTAACCTTTAGTCTAGAAGGGAAACAGCGACGTCCCTAAGGAGCGCGAAGCGATGAGAAGGCATCTTTGGGGGGCGCAGGGAGCCGAGCCCGAGCCGCGGCCGAGCGGGGACGGCGGCGGCAGCCCCGGGCTGGCGGCGGGCCCGCAGGTGCGCCGCCGCAGCCGCTGCGCACCGAGCGGGGCTCGCTCGCTCCGCGAGGGGCGGCGCGGGCTCCCCGCGATAAAGGGGGCCCGGCCGTGCGCTCGGCGGAACACTCGCGGCTCCCGGGGGGGACGGACTAGTAACTTTTCCGTTCCGGCGGCTCCCCCAAACCCACCGCGGCCAGGCAAACTTTCCGCCCGCACCGGGGGTGCCGCGGCCGCCGCCGCCGCGCCGGGCTCACCCCGGCATTGTTCCCCGGTGCCGCCGCCCGGCAGCAGCGCGGCCCCGGCCCGGCCCGCCCCGCTCGGCCATTTCCCCGGCGGGCCGGAGCCGGGGCGGGCGGACGGGTCCCCGCGGCGGGAGGACAGGACGGGGCTGGACAGGGCAGGACGCGCCGCCTCCCGCCACCCCCGGGTCCGCGCGTCCCCCCCGCGCCGCGCATCCCCGCGCACATACAGGGCGAGCCGAGCTCCGCTGCGCTGCTCTCCGCGGCTCGGGGCTCTGCTGCAATGCCTGCGAGGCTGACTTTCAAAGCCTAACCCGCAGCCGCGATCCTCCCTCTCCGCCTTCCACCTCGCCCGCCGCGGCGCAGCCCGGCCCCTCCCCGCGCCGCGCCATTCATCTCTCCAGCCAAGTTTCTTAACCCTTTGGTAACCTCCCGGCAGGAGGCAGGCGGGATGCGGGCATGCAGGGATGCGCCCCCCGCCCCGCCCCGCCCGGGCAGGGCAGGGCGGCCGCACGTACGCGGATCCCATCCCCTCCTGCCCTCTCTAATTAATCTGAATGAAGTCGCAGAGCCCCCGGGAAACAAACTTAGGAGCGACAGCACCGGAGGACCCGTATCTAATGAAAGCGGCAATGGCTTAAAAATAACACTTTTTTTTTTCTTTTTTTTCTTTTTTTTTTTTCTTTTTCCTTTCCCCATTCGGCTGCTTTGGAATAATAGGGGCTGCTAGTGTGACTAGTACTTGTCGGCTTACAGCTTACGTTTCCAGCCTTTCCTCCGAAAAAACACGCGCCAGAAACTTCAGTGCTATTATTATTGTTGTTGTTATTATTATTGTTATTGTTACTACCGCTGTTTCGAAGGAAAGGCCGGGATGCTCCCGGCAGCGCCCCGGCACCTGCGGCTGCTCCCGGCTGGCGCTGCCCCCGGCCGCGGCCCTGCCGGCTCCCGGCACGGCTCCTTATCCCGGCCCCTGCTTCCCAGGCCACCGGGAGCGGCGGGGAGCATCCCTGCCGGCTCTGCCAGGGCGGTCCCTGTGGTGCGGGGGAAGGAAGGAGGACGGGCGGGGGGAAGCGCCCCCAGGATCGGGGGCAGAGCGGCTCATCAAAGCCATGCTGTCTGCCCACGTGGCGAATAAATACAGTTTGGGAGGGGGAAAATAAGGAAAAAAAGCAGCCTGGAGTTGGGCAGTGCTTCCCAAGAAGAGTCAGCCCTGCATTTTGGTAGGCGACGTCCCCCAAGCCTCTTCTGTCAGAAATTGCGCTGAATGTCAAGTTGTTCTTTAGACTTTGCTGCCACCAAAGAGAGCACGCAGAGATACAGGCTGAACCTGGCTGTATAAACGGAGCTACAAAGTGCAGGCGACCTTCATCACACCTCCTGTGTGCCTGTGTTTAACAAACGTCTCGACGTGTCGCACACTGTCTGCCAAGCGCTTTACAGAGTGCTTCATGATACTTCACTTCCACAGTCAAAGACTGACGAAAGAGAAACAAATTTGTTTGCAAGTCACATATAAACTGCATGGTAATTGCTGCATTAACACATGCCAACCTTTCAGTTTTAAAACCCAGGTAAAATAAATGATCTATTCAAGCGTCTTTTTAGTAAGAGACTAATATTAAAGAGCACAGGAATTTCCATTTTAAAGAAAGCAAAAGGGAGTCACATTTATGAAAAGCTAAATATTTTAACTGAGAGATAACATGAATGAAAGTAGATGTAGGAATGTGAAGCAAAACCTCTTTCACTTTGGAATGTACGGATTGTGTACAGGCTTAGAGTGGAGCTAGTAATGTATTACTTGACCTATTTTTTTAAGCCAATGAAAGATTTAGGTTAACTTCATCATGTGTTTTTAACCACTTTCTTCCAGACATGCAGCAGCATTTTCTAAAGCCATTGCATGTCACAGTGTTTATATAAGTCCCTTTTTGAGAACATAAGTCTCATAATATAGCCTGATGGTACTTCCATTAAAAGAATGGGTTTGCTCTTCATTTCCATTATAGGCTCATTAGCAAATTTTGATTGTAAAGAAATTATCCTTAATTTTTTATTTCATAAAGAATCTTCATCTCAAATTTTTTTCAATGCTAAGCAGCTAAGTTATCTAGGGAAAAGGAAATTTTCTCATTACTGCAGCAATTTATCTGCTATTTCAATCAAGAGTGTCTGTAGTAGAGACGTCTTTCATTCTTAACCTTAGGGAATGTATTGCGTAGATGAGAGACCTACAAAATGAGGAATCTTGGACAGGCAACAGAAAAAAATGTGTGTGTGGAGTATTTGTTAAAATTATTGTTGTCAGGTAGCATATAGTTGCTTGAGGACACAAGTTTCAGGAAGATACAATCAACTGAGACTGTATTAAATAATAAAACATAAAGATTTAGTCGGTTATTTCCACCACTTAATAGTTGTATCACAATGAATGGTGCCACTAGTCCATGTTTACTTAACTATGAGAATTCAAACAATATACCAAATAAATATCCTGTACAAGTAAAGGAAAAAAATCCATCACACAGTAAATCCATCTCTCAGGAAGTATGAAAATACTGATGTGTATTTGTTGGTCCTTTCTGAATGTTCTTCAACCAAACCTAAACACTCACTCACTCCCCAAACATAAAAGGTGAGCATCCCTGGCTGTACCTATCTACCATCTGTGGGTGGTGTCTATACCTTCACTTTCCTTCAGACATCACAAAACAGGACACTGTTTGATTTTTTTTTCAAAGGGAATTCATCACTCTAAGATGCTGTTAAATGGAAGGCCAGTGGTGACAGGGAAGCATAAACTTCCTTCGACATCACAAAACAGGACACTGATTTTTTTTCCGAAGGGAATTCATCACTCTAAGATGCTGTTAAATGGAAGGCCAGTGGTGACAGGGAAGCATAAACTTCCTACCTTTGCATCAGTCTTGGAAGGGGAAAGTGTATTTATAGAGCTTACATTAGAACTCACTCCCAGAGTTGCAAGCACTTAGTAGAGAGCTGTTGGTGTCATACTTTGGTAATACCAGCACCCAAACATAAAAGGTGAGCATCCCTGCCTGTACCTATCTACCATCTGTGGGTGGTGTCTACACCTTCACTTTCCTCCAGACATCACAAAACAGGACACTGATTTTTTTTCCGAAGGGAATTCATCACTCTAAGATGCTGTTAAATGGAAGGCCAGTGGTGACAGGGAAGCATAAACTTCCTTCCTTTGCATCAGTCTCGGAAGGGAAAAGTGTATTTATAGAGCTTACATTAGAACTCACTCCCAGAATTGCAAGCACTTAGTGGAGAGCTATTGGTGTCATACTTTGGTAATACCAGCGAAACATTTATTTTTTATATTTATAAAAGTATATCACAATGCACCCCCTCCTTTACAAGACACAGAGTTATATTTTTGACCAAGGAAAACTTCTAACAAAACCAAAATATGATTCTTACATTCTTGAAGAACAAAATTAATCTGTCTGACCATTTAAAAAATGTACCTACAACTTCTCTTTGACAATTTTGATGATTACAATACTGCATTTAAAAAAGAAGAAACATTTATTTTTTATATTTATAAAAGTATATTATAATGCACTCCCTCCTTTACAAGACAGAGTTATATTTTTGACTTAGGAAAACTTCTTTCAAAACCAAAATATAACTATGATTCTGACATTCTTGATGAACAAAATTAATCTGTCTAACCATTTAAAAAATTATTAAATAAACAGTTGATGTACCTACAACTTCTCTTTGATAATGTTGATGATTACAATACTGCATTTAAAAAGGATAGGCAAAGATGCATCTTCAGTAGCAAACTTTGTCTTTAACTTGCTGAAGCAAAACACAGACCAACACTGTGCTTTGGTCTGTGCTGTATGATAAAAAGACACATATTATTATCAAAAAGTAGATGCAAATGCTATTTTATTATTCCCAAACATTTTTAAGCTAATGCTAGATTATTTTTAAATCACATAAGGTGCTTTGAAGAGCTTGGGAGAACTACAGTTGCTTTTATTTTGATTTTTATTTAAGGTTATCTCAGCCTCTCAAAAAGCTAACCATTCTGAAACTACCTTTTTCAATCACCATAATTAAGGCCTTGCTTTATGGCATCCAATCATGATATGAGAGGCTTAGGATGTGGTCGAGAAGCTAGCTAGCTTTACAGAAATGCATTTCCAGACTAAATCTTCCTCTAAAATAGTTTGTCAGCCTTACATAGACAAATAATGAAATTCTGTCCTTGACTCAGCCTAGTTCAATTCACGTAATATGTCAGATTAGCCACCATTTCAAAGGTGCCTTCAGAGAGGATTAAATCACCTAGTTGTTCCAGAATTTAGGGAGACACACACACATACACCAAAAAAATAGAAAATAAAAAGAAAAAAGGAGTCATTATGAATCCTGTTTATTCAATAAAGGACTTCAAAGGAGATTTGCCTAAATTACTGATCATCATATAATGGTGTTTATCCATAAATCTGAAGTAGTAAGGTGCAAAAGTCTGCTGTTCTTCAGGAGTACTATCTGTGAGTACCTGAAATCAGTGGGAACCTTACAGAGTTATCAGAGGAAGAACTGGTCCAGGGAAGGGTTCCTGCAGGGGGTACCACAGCGCACCTCCTGTTTTCCTCATGACAGCAGCAAGTCTGCAACTGTTGGTGGTGGAGTTACACAATACAGTGTAAAAGTTACACAATAAAGTGTAAAAGGAATACGCTCTATGGCTGAAAGTTATAAAAACTACACACTACTGCTTTTTCATCTACCTACATTTAAAATTATCAAGGTATTTGTATGCATACATCTGTCATTCCCTACTGGAGTTGTTTTCCACTTCATTTTTTTTTTTCCTTTTTTTTTTTCTTCTTTTTTAAATTGCAGAGTTGACTTCCATTTTTACAAGTACTTCCAAGCAGGTCATCTGAGAGGAATGTACCCTCAGCAGCTCAAATTAATTTTTTTTCCCTGCATTATTTAAAAGTAGACTTCAGATCGTGACTATTTATTCTAAGAGTAATAAGCAAAGGACCAGATGCTAGAGTCTTTTCAATTACAGAAACATTTAAAGACAGCTGTACCATATAAACTCTCATGGAGGAATCATATGCTTGCAGCATCTGGTGAGTTTTGGCCATGCCTCCAGCACGTCATATCTGTTCTGAGGCACGAGCTGGGGTGAGGCTTATTTCACCATGTGTGTTTTTGGGGCAGGGGCGTGCAGGTTTTTGACCCTAAATGAGTACTAACACTTCAGGTCTTACATTTAGTGGCAGGAAATAAACACTACTTTACACCTTTTATAGAAGAGTCCAGTGGCCTGGGAATCATATGCTTGCAGCATCTGGTGAGTTTTGGCCATGCCTCCAGCACGTCATATCTGTTCTGAGGCACGAGCTGTGGTGAGGCTTATTTCACCATGTGTGTGTTTTGGGGTAGGGGCATGCAGATTTTTGACCCTAAACCAGGACTAATACTTCAGGTCTTACGTTTAGTGGCAGGAAATAAACACCACTTTACACCTTTTATAAAAGAGTCCAGTGTCCAAGTGCTAAATTGATATGACTACCTTACATTAATTATTTTACCAGTC